TGAGCGCAAGTTTCCGTTCCTGATTAGATTGCAGGTGAAGCTCACGTTGATCTTGTCTTTGAGGAGGAAGAAGAAAGTGAGTGTCTCATTAGGCTCTTGCCGCCTGTCAGATGCTGGGTGATGTCCGGTTGCTTGGGTAGAGGTTCTTCATGTTCAAGTGTGGCTTCCTTCTGTAGTTCTTAACTCTGAGCTGTATTAGCATATTCTTAGCTGAGCTCCCTCACTTTACAGTAATTGGCTAAATCATCACACTCAAAATCAAGGGCTTTCCACAAGTTGGAGATGAATTTCCCCCTTTGAGTGAAAGGAACGTTCCACACTTCTGGTGGCATTCTCTGGTTCAGTGTTCCTGACCTTGAGTGTGGTCTTCTTGACCTTAAGGAATGATGCCATGACATCCAGTCATCTTACCCACATCAAGACCAAGGTTACCCAGGGCTTTCTTAGCCAAAGCACTTGATCTCAAGGAGCCCCAGCTCAATGGACACCATTAGTGTTTTTAGTTGACTGGCTACCAGATTCTGTGAATGGTTGAGAGAGCTTTCTTGAAGACACCCTCGCTTTAGGTACTATCCTACATGACAACTAGAGAAAGCAAGGCTCTCCAGATAGCCCAGTACAGTAGACAGGAGGAAAGAAGGGCCTCTGTCTTGCTTGCGTAGTGTCTGTTGTCTCTTCAGTAGCTGGAGTAAAGGGCAGGATTAGTCACCAAATCTCCCATGGACATATCGGTGCCCTAAGACATGTCATTAGTTCAGCTTGACCCTGTTCTTCCAGTTAATCTGACTCATTCACCTGATTCAGGTTTTCATAGAGAAGAAGAGATTGTGGTCTCAACAATGGAGTCAGCAAAAAACAATGTTAAGTGTTGGAATTTTAAGATAATACCTATTCCCCCACCTCAGGGACGATTTCAGACATGAGTACTCAGACATGTTCATTGGGTGGCCAACTGGAGCCTCCCCTGAGGAGGCCATTCACATCCCCTGTAGAAGATGGTGCTTGAGCCAATGGGAAAATGCAGATTAGCCATTTGGAAAAAGACGAGTGGGAGGGGAGGGTATTCCGGGCAAAGGCACAGAAGGGTGAGAATGTAAGAAACAGTAAGAAAATGCAGGGCATGGGAGTGAGAATGGAGTCATCCACACAACCAGGTTTTGGCCACGATCAACCACTGAGGAGTCTAAGCATGAGGATGACGCAGTGTAAACACCAGTATCCCGTGGCTACAGAGAACGGGATGGAGTGAGACTGACTCAAGGTCAAGTGCTCCATGGGAGAGTGATGGCAGCAGCCAGGGCGAGAAGCAACAGCCCTGGATTGAGGCAGTGGCTGTGATAATGGAGAGAGAACGGATCTGGGAGAGATTTAGGAGGGGAATCAGCAGGATCGATTGAGTACGGAAGATGAGAAGGAAGACTGGCACAGTTCTCTGTCTTCCATCCTGGACCAGTAAGTGGAAGGCAGTGTTCCACTACTCACCGACACGAGGGCCACTGAATGGAAAGAACTGGAAGATCCCAGGTTCAGATGGGAGGAGGGGAGTTTTAGGATGCAGGGGTGTGTCATCACTGAGCGCACAGACATGGTTCTGAGGTCAATATGTACCACCTGCTGGCTTCCCAATAATTAATTCAATTCACTCATTCCTCCCTCTGTCTCTCTCCCTACCTATGTCTAGGTCAAGCCTAAGTCAATCATTTTTCTACGATCATACGCATGAGCACCAAATTTCCATTTCTCTCAATCTCTCAAGTCATCCCGACTTGCTAGGCATTGCTCTTTCAGATTAAAATACTTCTGCATTATTATTTCAATTTTAAAGACTTACTACACCCCCTTCCCTCCTATTGCTTTCTTGTTCTTATACTGTATTGTTCCCCTAGGGTTTGGAGAACTACTTTCAGTTTATTAGGCACATTAATCAGCTCTGTGAATATCCTGACAATGTGCACTAGAGTTTTGAAATGGGAAGAGGGTTACCTGCCCTCACGCCTAGGGATTCTTTTCACTACTTAGGCCAAATTAACTTTTATGTGTGCTCAGCTACAGGAAATGACCGTGCACAAATTTAAACTATAAACAAAAATTATGCCACGAGGTAGATGAAGTTTGTAATAGGTTTGACAAAGGATCACTTCTTCCAGATATTTGAGGAGCTGGTATTGATTTAAGGGTGTTCATATGTGCTAAGGAAAGAATGGTTGGAAAGACCATTTATTTTCTCTTGTGTATATCCTCAAACACTCTAGGAGCTCACATCTTACCTAATAAGTTATTCCTGAATTATACCCCATTAAAAAAGTAAACAGAATGTGGGCTTTTAGAGTTTGTCTGGTAGATCTTGTACAGCAAGAGGCGAAATTCGCTTTGCAAGTCACTCCAGTCAAGATAAAAAGTAGAACCTACGCAACCCCGACAATTAGTCTTTGGAAATGAAGAATAAGCAGGATTGCTCATGCATGGTGAGCTTTCCTGGTGGACCACTTGCCATGAGGATACTACATTGCTTTCCTTCTGGTTCTTTTTCCACTGGTCTCCTGGGGGAGAAAGCGCCTTGCCTATATAGACGAAGGACCCTCTTCAGCTCTGAGGACTTCAACCTCCTGTTCTGTTCTGGAACCCTCAGGAGCTGGAGAACAGTGAAGATGTGTCATGATGTTCAGTCTCATTCTCTTAAGATGTAAATGCACAACCGTAGCACACGAGCCAAAAACTGTTTAGATGGAACAAACAGAATCACACGTAGCAAGTATCAAAGTTAATCTGACACTAATTTAATGGTATGCATAACTGTTATTGTGTTGCATGGTAATTAGTCTTAAGTGGCGAGCAGTTCAGGTAAATGACTTCAATTAGGATTACTTTCCATCCGTCAAGTCAAATATTTCCAAAGACAACTGAGAGAAGAGGCAGTTCAAGAACAGGACTTTGTATGTCCCCCTCCCCTCCATACCCCACTACCCATCCAACATACACATATGTACAAATACACACATATGTGCGCACACAGCGCTAGACTGGAGGACATGACCAACTCTCCAGTCACTCATTTCCTCTCAACTTCCCCTTGATGATGAACCCCATGATGCCCTACTTGAATTTTTTTTAATATTTATTTATTTGAGAGAGAGAGAAATAGAGCATGAGCAGGAGGGGCAGAAGGAAAGGGAGAGAGAGAAGCTCAAGCAGACTCCGTGCTGAGTGTGGAGGCTGACGTGGGGCTCAGTCTCATGACTCAGGTCACAACCTGAGCGGAAACCAAGAGTTGGTTGCTTAACGGACTGCGCCACCCAGGCACCCCTGCCCTATTCTGATTTTAGAGGAACACAGTATTCACCCTGAAGTCGGGGTGCCCCAATATCTAGCCCTCCAAGCACACAGAAAGAAGAAACCTAAGATCAGTGATGGGGAGAAAGTAGATTAGGGAAGGAAAAGAAGAGGCTCCTTGAACACCTTGATTCTGCATGCTTCTGATCAAAGAAATGTTATCTGCCCATGTGGGTTCCTTTGCATGTAGGGTTCTTTATTTTGTTTTTAAATTTTTAAGTAATCTCTATACCCAGCATGGGGCTCAAGCTCATGTCCCCCAAGATCAAGAGTCGCAGGGAGACCTGGGAGACCACCAACTAAGCCAGCCAGGCGCCCCTGCATGTTGGGCCCTTGTGTTGGAGGAGAGGCTGTGCCAGGAACGCAGGTCTAGAGGGGTAGCACCATAAAGTGGGTGAGGGTCAGGGGCAGTGGGGGCATGCCCTGAGCCCTGGAGAGAAGAGGGTGAGGAAATGTGAACTACAACTGTAAAGCTAGATACAGTGTCTATAGCAATTGGCTCCAGAAGCACAAGCTATACCCAGGATGTAGGAGGGAGCAGGCCAGAATGGGGGAAAGGGAGATCAAGCGCAACTTGGAGGAGGGACTTACAAAGATGAGGAGCCTGACTTGAGGGACATAGTGAAGGAACGGGACAGTGACTGTACAAGGCCTTTGTGAGGGCTTTGTGCTTGGTCTTCAAGGAGCCCTACCCATGGTTCCCAAACTTGGAGGTCCTATTGCCTGAAGAGGGTGCAGGCCACCAGTGTGAGCTTCACCAGGGTCAAGGACGCCAACCTGCCCACTGGAGCCACCCGGAGAGCTTGAAAACAAAATGCCTTTGCCCAGGTCTCACCCCCAAAGAGTCTGATTTAATTGGACTGGGGAGCAGCCCGGGCATGGAGATCGTTCAGAGCTTCCAGAAGATGCTAACATGCCACCCAGACTGAGAACCAGTGCCCCAGAGGGAGTGATGCCAGGTTTGGTCTAGGGTTGGGCTTCTTTTTTTTTTTTTTTTAAAGATTTTATTTATTTATTTGAGAGAGAAAGAATGAGAGAGAGCAAGCACATGAGAGTGGGGAGGGTCAGAGGGAGAAGCAGACTCCCTGCCGAGCAGGGAGCCCGATGCGGGACTCGATCCCGGGACTCCAGGATCATGACCTGAGCCGAAGGCAGTCGCTTAACCAACTGAGCCACCCAGGTGCCCTAGGGTTGGGCTTCTAAGCTCCAGCTCGCTCACTTACAGACCACCTACAAATTGTAGCTCCAGGCCAGAGCTTCGGCTTTATAGCATTGACAGTAACATGACAGTGCCCTCTTCGTCAGGTGCTCCAGAAGCCAACAAGTGCAGGCAGAGTCTAAAAGGAGCTTGAACAAAGGGGTGGTCCCCTCTACACCTGGATGGAGGAGCTGGGGCTGGTGGAAAGGGAGAGGAGTCATTTTACCTTCTCAGATGTGAAGAAAAGATCCAAGCATGGTGTTCCCCTTGCATGGCCTTTTCTCCAGCTGGCCGTGCGTACCCCACCCCCACCTACCAGAGTGCCTTTTCTTCCCAGGCCTCTTGGTGACAATTAGTGCTCTTTGCTAAAATATTAAGCACTTAAAGATTTGAACCAGTGTCACTTGGGTGATTCCATGAGATGAGCCGCTGGGTGCTATTCTCACAAAGGGAACACAATTGTGTTTTGTAGGTTTGATAGCATTGACCCTCACCGAGTTCTGGATGCCAGGCACACGGAGATACAGCAGATGGAATCTACCATGGCCTCCATTTCTGAGGCTGCTGGCTTGTTTGAAGTCAGTGTTCCTGATTACAAGCAGCTGAAGCAAAGCAGAAAGGAGGTGTGCCAGCTGAAGGAGCTCTGGGACACCATTGGGGTGGTGACCTCCAGCATCCATGCCTGGGAGACCACCCGGTGGAAGGAGGTCAACGTGGAGGCTCTGGACTGGGAGTGTAAACGGTTTGCCAGGCACATCCGGAACCTCGACAAGGAGGTCAGGGCCTGGGATGCATTCACAGGCCTGGAGAACATGGTGTTGAACACCCTGACTTCCCTGAGGGCGGTGGCCGAGCTGCAGAACCCAGCTATCCGGGAGCGGCACTGGAGACAGCTGATGCAGGCCACGGGTGCGAGCTTCACCATGGACGAGGATGCCACCCTGGCCCATCTCCTGCAGCTCCAGCTGCACCATTTTGAGGATGAGGTCCGGGGCATTGTGGACAAAGCCGTGAAAGAGATGGCCATGGAGAAGACCTTGAAGGAGCTGCAGACCACCTGGGCCAGCAGGGAATTCCAGTACGAGCCCCACCCGCGGACCAACGTCCCCCAGCTGCAGTCAGACGAGGACCTCATCGAGGTTCTGGAGGACAACCAAGTCCAACTGCAGAACCTGATGATGTCCAAGTACATTGCCTTCTTCCTGGAGGACGTGTCTGGCTGGCAGAAGAAGCTGTCCATGGCTGATGCTGTCATCTCTGCCTGGTTCCATGTGCAGCGCACGTGGTCTCACCTGGAAAGTATATTCATTGGCTCCGAGGATATCCGGGCTCAGCTGCCCCAGGTACCTGCCGAGGAAATCCTGCTCTCTCTGTTCTCTTACTCGAGTGAAGGGAGGAGCCCCCAGTTCCCACATCTCTAGACCTTTCCTTCTTTGCCTGCCTTGGCTTCACTCAGAGGCACCTCCCACACACATGGGCCTTCCAAGCCACCAAAAGGCGGGCAGAGGGAAAGAGAGAAGGTGAAATGCACACCAATTAGTTTGTCCCTGGATGGGTGGGGAAAAGGAAGGAGAACTTGGTGTGGTTTTTTTTGTTGGTTTTTTTGGGGGGGGGGCGGTTCTGGGTTTGTTGTTGTTGTTGTTTTAATGTGTATACAAGAAAGGAGTGGAAACTATTTGCTACTGCAGTTTGGGATGAGCTAGTCCTGAGCTGCTCCACAGACGATTACAATGCAGCTAGCCACTGGGAAGGGAGCCTTGTTTCCAGGCAAATGCAAGTTCCTTCTCAGCAGGGACCCACTCTGTGACACCTCCGGCCTGAGCCACACGCTTAATACCAGCCTTCCGCTCCATCCTAAACAATGAATTTCCAGAAAAATCTGCATTCTTCTCATTACTACCTTCCCTGTGGTTGATTGCCCCATCTAATCTGTCCTAATTAATGTGCCATAGCTTACCCACCTCTCGGTGGACTCGAATTCATTAAAAAAATTTTTTTATTTTTTATTTTGCAGACGTTCTCTTGTCTTCCTTTGGTACAGCAAGTTCTCAGCTTCCAAATTAGTTTGCTTCCAAAACGTCACATGTCGTTCAGGCCCCACTTAAAAAGTTAAAGCTCATTCCGTCAAAACGTATTTTTCCAGCTCATCCCACAAAGGTGTATTTCACGCCCTAATGCAGATTACAGGTTGTACATCTGGAATGAAAAAGAGCTGGAAACCATTCCGAGAGAGATGTTGTCATTAGGCCAAATTGAATAAGCCAGATTTTCTCTCCAGCTCAAGGGATTGAAGAAGAGCGCGTTTAATTAGGAAGTAAGGGCAGAAGTGGAGACTTTTGTAGAGACTCTAAAGGAGGATTTTGAGAACTTTGAACCACACATCAGAAAGAATTAGTACCATTAGCTTCTCCACAGAGGCATAGGTCCGTGTGCGAAATATACATTTATTTTCTTTGTATTAAATCAGTACAATCACAGAGACAATTTAAAAACATAATAAAATCGGTCGTAATCTTACACCCTAACTAGTAACTATTTTCATTCATTATGAATGTCTCCCAATTTGGCTTCACGTATCTACACGTTTTTTACATAAGTTCTCGCTGTGTAATTACGATTTTCTTTCCGGCTCTTTTCATTGGAGCATTTATGTTCCATATTTCCGATACATCTATAACCTTGATACTTTCTCATCTTTCATGGGAACAAAATACCTCATGGATCCGTCATAATTTACCCTGCCATCCTATTTTTTTTAATTTTTTATTGTTACGTTAATCACCATACATTACATCATTAGTTTTTGATGTAGTGTTCCATGATTCATTGTTTGTGCATAACACCCAGTGCTCCATGCAGAACGTGCCCTCTTTAATACCCATCACCAGGCTAACCCATCCCCCTACCCCCCTCCCCTCTAGAACCCTCAGTTTGTTTTTCAGAGTCCATTGCCTTTCGTAGCTCGTCTCCCCTCCGATTTCCCCCCCTTCATTCTTCCCCTCCTGCTATCTTCTTTTTTTCTTTTCTTAACATATATTGCATTATTGTTTCAGAGGTACAGATCTGTGATTCAACAGTCTTGCATAATTCCCAGCGCTCACCATAGCACATACCCTCCCCGATGCCTATCACCCAGCCACCCCATCTCTCCCACCCCACCCCCCACTCCAGCAACCCTCAGTTTGTTTCCTGAGATTAAGAATTCCTCATATCAGTGAGGTCATATGATACATGTCTTTTTCTGATTGACTTATTTCGCTCAGCATAACACCCTCCAGTTCCATCCACGTCATTGCAAATGGCAAGATCTCATTCCTTTTGATGGCTGCATAATATTCCATTGTATATGTATACCACATCTTCTTTATCCATTCATCTGTCGATGGACATCTTGGCTCTTTCCACAGTTTGGTTATTGTGGACATTGCTGCTATAAACATCGGGGTGCACATACCCCTTCGGATCACTACATTTGTATCTTTGGGGTAAATACCCAGTAGTGCAATTGCTGGATCATACTGCCATCCTATTTTTAAATTTTCTTGGGAGAGGGGCTAGCTTTCCCACTTGTAGCTGTGGGATCTTGGGCAAATTACTTAATGTCTCTGTGCTCTTGTTTCCTCCTGTGAACTGGGACAAATACCAGTCCCCACTTCAGGGATGTAATTAAAGAGTGCACACAGCACCCATTGTTATGATTGTTGTCACATAATAATAATACCACAGGCTCTGACCAGGTGCCAGATATTGGGCTAAAGCCTGCATGTTATTGTCCCAGGCATTTCAACTACACTCTTGAGCAGTGGTATGTTTGAGGGAAACGATGATAATTAATTTGACATCACATTTGCTGAAGAACATCTTTCTTTGGTTACATCAACTTTTGCGCAGACCCAGAAGAAGCACTGGATCTGCTGTGCACCCGATGCAGGAAGTATGTGTTTTACCCCAACGGTTCTCAAGGCATGGTCCCAGGACCCTGACCTTCATAGGGGATCCTCAAGGTCAAGACTGTCAGTAATAATGCTAAGATGTTATTTGCCTTTTTGTTCACTCTCATTTTTCCACGCACACACACGGGAGTTTTCCAGAGGCTACTGGACATGTGAAGTCACAACAGATTGAATGCAGAGCAGGAAAGAAAATCTGGTCATGTCCTAAGTCAGACATTAAATTTGGGATAAAAAAAAGTGAAACAAGGCTACCTTCTCTCTAAGTTATTTTGTTGTGGAAAATACAATTATTTTAGATAAAAGCATATTATGTTACCATTGTGGGTTTAATATTGTTACTTTTTAAATGAATTAACAGGGGTGCCTGGGTGGCTCAGTAGGTTAAGCATTTGACTCTTGATTTCGGCTCAGATCACGTTATCAGGGTCGTGGGATCGAATCCCATGTCAGACTCCCTGCTCAGCGGGGCGTCTGCTTCTCCCTCTCCCTCTGCCCCTTCCCCCACTCGTGATCTCTCACTCTCATAAAAAAAAAAGAATTAGTACCATTAGCTTCTCCACAGAGGCA